TTCACCACCACATGAGGAACTGCATGAAAGGGTCTCGGCATGAGGAAGGTGGAGAACCGCTGCGTTACAGACTCAGAAATGCAGAGGGGCGGTTCGTCTTACCCTGGCCAAGAAGGCCCCTGTGAGGCCGAATCCGTTCGCGGCAGTGAGTTTGGTTGGACGTCTTGGTAGTAATCTGTAGTGAAAAATTCTATGTTCTCCCCACATCTGAGATCTGGCTTCTAGAGATGGCTGGCTTCTCTAGATGCCCCACCTCCGACCTTCCTACAGAAGCAGAGCCTCTTCTCCAAATTGTGTTCCCAGGGGGGATGGCGGACCTAGTAAGCACAGTAAGCATGGACCTGCTGGTGCTTACCTACTGATCTGTAATGAGATCAGTTTCACTACTACTTACTTAGACCAAGCTGTAGTGAACAGTTTCACTTGTTTCTTATAAAAGATCAGGCGAGGTTAGCAGCTCACCACCTGCTTACCTTGCTTACTGGGTAACCACCCTGGTCCCACCCCCCACCCCACCCCCACCCCCACCCCACCCCCGTGGCTGGTCGGGGCTCTGCCTGGTATAGTAGGGGGGTCTGGGGGTGGGGTGCCCGCCCTTCACAGCCAGCAGCACACTCCCTCCCACACCCGCACGCCCGCCGCCACTTGGCTTCTGCAAACCCGCATGATGTATTTCTCTCGAGTTACACTGTACATCTGTTTATTTTTCATTTTAAAGCATGTTTTCTTGATCAATTTATAAATATTTTAGCAGGTGCCCTTTCCTGTGTAAATCTGTCAGACACACATGCCCAGGCCTCCTGCCAGATTGCACTCGCTCCCTGCACATGCCACTCCCGGGGGGAGACCCAGCCTCGCTGCCATCCTGTGCCTTACCTTCCCCCACCCCACCCCCACTTCCTTTGCTCACCCATCCTCACCTTAACACCCCCCGCACCCACTCCCCTGCTCTTGTACACACTGCTGCCCTTGTCCCAGTCAGTCTAGCATGAGACCTCCCACTGTGACACTTGGGCTTGGATGGTAAACCCTCAGCCCCTGTCTCAGGTGGACGGCGAGTTGTGGTAACACAGCCTCAGTGGGGTTTATCTGCGAGGAACGTGTCCCAGACCTGGGGTGACGTTCCAGTCTCCACACCTCTGCCTGCTCTTCCCATGTGGGGAGACTGCCTGACTGCCCTAGAGAGCAGGGCCAGTGTGGAGAGGGAACTGGGGTTAGCTCAAACGCTAGGAAAATTCAGGATGGCCTCTTTTGTTTCTGTTTTTCCAACATTTCATTATGGTTTGATTGCAAGGTTGCAGCGTGAATTAGTTTCCCATTGGACCACTTAGGCACAATGTCTTCACTGGGTCAACCCTCGTCCCTGGGCTCCCTGTTTCCATTCACACAGCTCTCCTGCCCTCCACCTTCTGACCTTTGCCTTGGGGCAAAGGCTGCCTTTTCCAGCCTGTGTGGTTGATCTTCTTGAGGAGGTGTTATTGTTCACTTTATCAACTGTCTATTTGGCTGAGAGGTAATCTATCTTTAAGATTGGGGTTAAGTTCTCCCTGTGATGGACCTCCAAGGATCATAAGCTCAGGGCTTCCAACAGTCTCCATCAGACCAGTATGGTCTTCTTTATCATTTTTTAATTTTTTTCCTGCATTTTCCTCCCACTCTGACCAAGACCTTTTAATGTGACTCAAGTCAGAGTAGTTGGTGGTGGAAGCCGGGCACTATCTGGTTCTTCTGGGTCTCAGGTTCATGGACGTTGAGGTTCCTGGGAGCTGTCAGTCCTTTGGATTGTTTCCTTCCGTGTTTTATGTCTTCGCTATTCAGAGTTGCCGTGTCTGTGGATCACTTTGGATCGTGTTGGCCTTTTCATGATGTTATCTCAGAATGGCATCTTCTTCCACTTATTTGGGTCTCTTGTTTGCTTGCAGTAGGGTTTTGTAGTTTTCTTTGTATACGTCGCTTACATCCTTGGATAGGTTTATTACTGTTTCACCTTTCTAATGAATGTTGTAACTGTTATTGTATTCCTGGTTCCCATTTCCAGGGTTTTCTTCGTTAGTATAAAGGCATGTGACTGCTTTTGATCTTATACCCTCCCACTTTACTGTAATCTTCTGTTAGTCCCAGGAGTTTCCTTGTGGGATCTATGGGATTTTCAATTTTCTATCATATCATCTGCAAATAGGAATAGTTTCACTTCTTTCTTACCAGTTTGGGTGCCTTTTATTTCCCTGTCTTGCAATACTGTCTGGCTAGGCCTTCTAGTACAATCTTGAATGCATGCTGGTAATAAAGGCCCTCCTTGTCTGGTTCCCAATCTCCATGGAGATTTCCTGCAGTCTCTTTCCACTAAGAAAAATATTGACTGGTTGTTTGGCGGGAGGGGGGGGGGCGCGGAATGCCCTTAATTATGCTGTATCCCTATTCTGATAATTAATTATTTTTATTTTCAAAAAATGGCAGTCTGTTAGCTTTTCAGCCACAGGATTTAGGATTTCCCGTTGATTCTCTGCAAACCCAAAGTTCCAGAAAGCCAAAATGGTAACTTTCTGCTGTTTTCTAGTCAGTGGTGAATTTTTTGGTCACTTTTTCCAGGTTTGAGGGTTAGGGATAAAGTGATGTGGTGGGAAGGTGTCAAGGTGAGCTACATACATACATCCCAATGAGCTCCTCAGATGGGAGACTTGGCAGAAGGCTGTTTCCGGGTTTCAAAGATAAATATTTTCTTCACGTCTTTTCTTATTTTAAGTTTTATTATTGTTGTTGTTATTATTTAGTTATTATTTTTATTGTGAATTAGAAGGGGGTTACATTTTGGATCATCAACTTTGTCCTCAGCAGGTTAAATTACTAACCAACACCCCCAACGGTATTCCCCGTACCAGCTCCTTGTGTCCCCTTCTCCCTCCTATGGGTGACCATTACCCCTTACAGGGAAGTTGAAACACACACAACCTTGTCTAGTCCCTTACTTTCTCTTCCCTCCCTTGGGGTGACTATTACTGTAAATTCTGACATGGTCGTTCATGAATCTTACATTCGATGAGTGCTGTAAAAACAACTGTTGAGAACCCCCTAGAAGGGAGGTCGTGGGCCCTCTAGTTCAGCCCTGATCACGCCTTCTTCTCTCTCTGTTGTCCAGGTGTGCGAGAAAGAGAAACTGTTGTCAGAGAGGAATCAGCTGAAAGCCTGCATGGGGGAACTGCTGGACAACTTCTCCTGCCTGTCCCAGGAAGTCTGCCGTGATATCCAGAGCCCAGAGCAGATCCAGGCCCTGCACCGCTATTGCCCTGTCCTGAGACCCATGGATCTCCCCACGGCCTCCAGTATTAACCCTGCGCCCTTAGGCGTTGAGCAGAACCTGGCTGCCCCCCAGTGCACACTGGGGGAGACCGTGGCCTGCTGCTTGGAGCAGGGTGCAATGCCCCCTGGGGTTCCCTGGGTACCCGGCAATGCCTCTGAGAATTGTACCTCTGCGAGGAGCCTGGAAGGCCCTGATCCAGGCACCTTCTCAGAGACCGGACCTCCTCTGGAACCCAGGACCCAAACAGTGACCGTGGACTTCTGCCAGGAAATGACTGATAAATGTACAACTGACGAACAGCCCAGGAAAGACTACACCTAGTGACGTGGACCCGCCTCCCCAGTTCTCCCACCTCTCCCACCCAGGTGTTCTTCCATCGGCCTGGGCGCTGTTCATCTGTTGTCCTGAAGAACCAAGAACCATTTGGTGCACACTACAGCAGTCTTAGCAGCAATACTGTTTCTTAAGTGTTCCCTCCTCTCTGCAAGCAGGAGTGATTTATAGTCCCCTTCACAATGGTGCTACCCCTTGCTCAGGCAAGGGAAGACAGCGGTGGCCACACCGTCTGGCTGTCTGGGTTCATTTCAGTCTTAACAGGGATAGACTTTAACACCTCTAGGACCCAACCACGGATTTTTTTTCTCAGTGGCCCATGTCACAAACCCTATCTCAGGAATTTCTTCTGAATGTTCAATTTTTTTCATTGAAGACAGCTTCTATACACATCAAAGTTTTATAGCTAGACTGTACATATTATATATAATATAAAAATATATATATATATCCATATGCAAAAGTCCTGCATGCCTCAATTTTCCCATCCTAAAACTGGAAACTTCATTTCTCACTTCTAACCAGGTTCCAACATTCCATCTTCTTTTGTCTTTGATGCTAGAATTAGTTTGATAGCTGTTTAACATGATCATTTTTTTCCTTGCTTCACTGTTCAATTTCAATTTGTACTTATTTATGGATAAAAGTCAGTGTTGGAGACATACAGCAGGGGGGCGGGAATCTCAGACCTTTTTGATTGTTGTGTTTGCTCGCTTGGCGTGGGCACCTCCAAATGGTGTCCTTTGAGCATCGTGGGTTGTTGGGTAATTTCATTTGGTTGGTTTATTTGTTTCCCTGCAGATATTGTACAGTCATGGTCAACTTTGCCACTTGCACTGAGTTTTGGGTCAAACCTATTTTCTTAAATGAAGTTGTGACTTCAGTATAGCTCAAATATACTGTATACTCTTTGTTTTTAGTTTAAAAAAGTAAAGTGTGTTTAGCTAATTAAAAAAGCACTCAGGTGATAATTATGTAGGAAAAAACAATCTTGCCAAATAATGAAATCATCCTAGGATGTATAGACAATAATCTGCTTGAATATTTTTCTATTTCACCCCCCTCCCCACCTCTCCCCTCAGAAAGCTTAAATGCAGATCAGTTCTGCGTTGAGGCAAGATGTTCAGATTCCAAAGTGGGGAGAGAATTTGGCTGCCTCGCTCACAAGTGCATCGACAGAGCAGGAATTCATGATTCTGTACCAGAACTTAGCAGGCATTGGCTCCTAGAAATCAAGTTAGAGCTCTTTGCTCACCCAGGGACGAAGCCCCATTCAAGTCCACACTTCCTCAGGCCACAGCTTGCTCGTGGAAGTGTTTGTTGTATGCCCAGAACTTCCTAAACAGTCTCAACGGGCCAGCCACCCGCTTCCTAGCCCAGGACCTACCTCCCAGGACATCGCACCTTGGAGATTTGAATGGTAGTTCCTCAGATCCTGCAGCTAAGTGGAGGTTGCAGGTTGGTGCATAGGAGAGGGGAAAGCAGGTTCGAGTCTGAGGTTTGCCCCTGATGCAGGCAAGAGCGTTTCCCTCTCCCTTCCTTCTCTGAATGCTTTGAATTGAATTGTGCGGTTCCTCCGGTAGTTTCTTTGTGCAAGATAATGGTGGCCAGGCACCCTTCACCCCCCTTCTCCACATCCACACATCCAACCCTGAGGGTCGTTTTCTTCTCTTGCTGCAATGCTAGTTGGCTTTTGACCCACAGAGCAGCTGGCTTTGGCCCAGGGCATGTTTACAGGAAGGTGTGCCTGGGGGGGGGGTCTCCGACTCGGTCCGGGAGGAGGAATCTGCTCCCTCGCTCCAGCGGTTGCTTTCGCTGACCAGCCCGCTGCCAGGAGAGCCCTGAACCA